AATGCATCGAATATTCATAATATTTTTAAATTTTGAACAAATTATACATTGTGCAGATGCTATATTAGGTCTATTGTCACTAGTAATAGCTGAAAATTTATCTTTACCAATATGATTTATAATTATTTCAATTTGACTAGCCAAAAACTCAGCTGTATGAGATTGCTCTGAAAAGTTTCCAAGCTCATAAAGGTACTCCTGTCGTAATAGTGTTATAATAACAAAATTCCAAATTGATGATCCATTAGGAGTAGTCCAGCTATCAAGACCAATTATAAGATTACTAGCATACTCTAAAATTTCATCAACTTTATTAATAACTTTTGCTATTTCAGTATCTAATAAATGTCCAGAAATAATTTCACGTGATAGAACTTTATAACCAGAATTGAGAAGTTTTAAAGAATTTATAAAAAAAGGATTTTCAATTATACGAAAAGGGATACCACACATAATAAAAGCTAATGTAATTACTTCATCAATTATTAATTGTTTAGACACTTCATTTTTGTAGAATCAAACCAATTAGTTAACTCAGGTTGCTTGGCGATTTTTTTCTGTTTAACTAAAGATGAAGTAATATTTTGTATATTATAAGGCTCATCAGTTGGAACATCTTCTAAATTATTAACTATAATATAATTAAAATGGCATCGCCATTTCTCAGGAACTTTTTTACAACTATTTGCAAGATGTGTACGTAAAGTTTGTAGTTTTGCACGTGGATAAAATTTTCCATAGTACTTACAAGTTCCTTCCCAATGACTATCACCTCTAGGTTCACCTCTTTCAAAATATTTCTAAACACTGTTTTTGGACATCCTAATTTTGAATTGCTAGAGTCTCGAGACTTTGTTTCAGTATCACTTGAATTATAAATTTGCTTTTGTTTTCACTTAGTCATTTAGAAAGAATCATGATATTTATTAGATGAAGATTGAATTAAACAATTTAGCAATTTATTAACACTAATAAATATATAAAAAATTTTTAATATTCAATTACAAAAGTTAGTATTGCAGGGTTTTTACTTGTAAAATGTTTAAGACTTGGATACTTGTTTTTTACTCGTATATTATGAGAAGATTCGAATATTAATTGAGCTAAAATAAAAGGTATTTCTATTATACTCTATTTTAATTAAAAATAACATATTCTATTTTACATATAAGTATCATGCTATTATGCCCACTTTACATAAACTGACTTCAGCAATAATAATATTAAATTGGCTTCGATAAGTATTTTTTACATTTACTAAAAAAAGATAATAATTAATATTGCGTATGTACCATATTTAAAACATTTAAGAAAATATTTGTCAGATCATATCCAAAAAAAAAATTCACGATCTTCATAATAACAGCAACAAGCCAATTATTTTATATAAAGGTTTTATAATCTCATAACACACACTACATTCACCTGCTTTAAACAGGTATGTACAAACAATTTAAAGAACTTACATATGGTGCAGAAAGTCTAAAAACTTTAATCTATATCACTATATTTATCATTATATTATAATAAGTGCAAAATCTTGTTAGCGATAAGCAAACAGGGAGCAAAGTTAACTTGAAGATAAGCTTAATTTAGTATTCTCAACCTATCAAAAGATACAAAAAAAAAAATGTGATTCTTTTACATTACAAAAATAAAAAGATAACGATAAGATTATTCTAAAACTCAAATGCAAGAAACCTTGCCGTGAAATCTGTAAATCATTCAACAAGACCCGTTCATGAAAAAATCAAATGTTTTAGAACCAATAGCATTGAATCAGATTCTTCAGTAGCCGAATTCGATGTAATTATTATCTATTTACAAGTTGTCAATCATATATAAATACACTGTTGTATTAAATTTTGTTTTAAATTACAGTTACACTACATATAATAACAGGATTATTATTATAGCAATTACAACTATTTCGGCAATTACAACAATTATAACTATTACGGCAATTATAACTATTACGACATTTATAGCAATATGACACATTACGAATTTTGGAAATGGGTGTAATTAGAGTTGCAAACCAGGTTGTAATCCGTAATGTCCGTAATTATTACTTACGACTAGCAACCTTAATGGTCATAAATATAATATATGGGCGCGCGTTATTTTCGGAACGTATTTGGCATTAATTTAAGCTCAATTGGCAAAATTTAAAAAAGTCTATACAAAATAACGCCCATGTGTGTTATTACGCTGGTACTGGGCAAGAGTCTGTATCTCCTGGTACAGAATAAAAAGCTATCCCCGAGTACAGGATAAGGAACTTGTAAATTTATTATTATAAGTAACCTTTATTTAGCACGCTCTAATATTAAAACAGGTAAAAATATATGATAAATCAGTTCTATCGACACAATTAGACAGACATCTGATCACAATAACTTTTGTTATAATTTGCATACATAAAGAATAAACTAGCAACTAGTAAATTTAGTAGCAAATTATTTTATTTTATTATTATTATTTTATCTATTATTATTACTTTTTAATAAAATAGAGTATAATAGAAATACCTTTTATTTTAGCTCAATTAATATTTGAATCTTCTCATAATATACGAGTAAAAAACAAGTATCCAAGTCTTAAACAATTTATGAGTAAAAACCCTGCAACACTAACTTTTGTAATTGAATATTAAAAATTTTTTATATATTTATTAGCGTTAATAAATTGCTAAATTGTTTAATTCAATCTTCATCTAATAAATATCGTGATTCTTTCTAAATGACTAAGTGAAAACAAAAGCAAATTTATAATTCAAGTAATACTGAAACAGAGTCTCGAGACTCTAGCAATTCAAAATTAGGACATCCAAAAACAGGTGTTTAGAAATGTTTTGAAAGAGGTAAACCTAGAGGTAATGGTTATTGGGAAGGAACTTGTAAGCACTGTAGAAAATTTTATCCACGTGCAAAACCACAAACTTTATATGCACATCTTGCAAATAGTTGTAAAAAAGTTCCTGAGGAATGGTGATGCTATTTTAATTATATAATAGTTAATAATTTAGAAGATGTTCCAACTGATGAGCCTTATAATATACAAAATATTACCTTATCTTTAGTTAAATGGAAAAAAATCACCAAGCAACCTGAGTTAACTAATTGGTTTGATTCTACAAAAATTGAAGTGTCTAAACAATTAATAATTGATGAAGAATTACATTAGCTTTTATTATGTGTAGTATCTCTTTTCGTATAATTGAAAATCCTTTTTTTGTAAATTCTTTAAAACTTCTCAATTCTGGTTATAAAGTTCTATTACGTGAAATTATTTCTGGACGTTTATTAGATACTGAAATAGCAAAAGTTATTAATAAAGTTGATGAAATTTTAGAGTATGCTAGTAATCTTACAATTGGTCTTGATGACTGGACTGCTCCTAATAGATTATCAATTTGGAATTTTGTTATTATAACACCATTACAACAGGAGTATCTTTATGAGCTTGGAAACTTTTCAGAGCAATCACATACAGCTGAGTTTTTGGCTAGTCAAATTGAAATAATTATAAATCGTATTGGTAAAGATAAATTTTCAGCTATTACTAGTAACAATAGACCTAATATAGCATCTGCACAATGTATAATTTGTTCAAAATTTAAAAATATTATGAATATTCGATGCATT